ATGAATTGCATTTCTGAATTTTCCCAGGGAAGCTTGACTGTCCATTTTTTATCCGGAGGTTGCCTATCAGAAATCTCTTGCTTCAATCCTAATAATTCTTCAATCGGTCCCCTAAATTTGGTATTATGGACTTGGCTATATAGAGTACCTGTAATAATATTATCACAGCTCCACTACATTTCTTAGCCTTAGTCCCCATGAAGCATACAACAGCTTGACCAAACTTTTAGTTTTGGCTCCAAACAGATAACTAACTCGATTTAAAATATGGACAATAAATCCTCAAAATTTAGATTCCCTTTTGGGTTTTGTGATATCATTATTGGGTCGTGTGATTTAAAGCGCCTTATTTTTAATTTTTTTAATGAGTGGTCTTATTGCGTGAATTAACCAAATGGCTTAAAATTCTACCTCCATTTTGTATGTATATACTGTTGTTAGTAGATTAGTAAAATATTTTGAGGATGAGCTTTTTAAATCTTAATTTAAATTATACACTATTAATTGTAATATTTCCATTTTCTGTAAGAAGCTTTGATGTAAAATTCTTTTTTTAATTTGCATTCAGGATATGTTTTGGATGGATTCTTTTATGACTTTAATCTTGTGCGAGGCACAAATCAGTGTTCAACTTCTTTGAATGTGCAAAGTCTCAAGTCAGATTCTATGGTGACCAGTTCAGCCTCAATTTCCCCTTTGCAAGATACGTTTTCCTTGCTGTCTCAGCTTGTCCGTCTTCTTGAGTTCGACCGGCCGAGGCTATTAACACAGATCTGGCAACCAAGTGACGTTATTCGGGCAGTAGCCACTGCTGGGATTGATATGTTTGATGGTACTTTGCCTTTTAGACTTTCAAGAGCTGGGCTTGCCTGGCTTTACCCTGGCTGGCGTCCTGATTTAATGAGTCCCGGCTTCGACGATAAGGGTATTACTGGAACCCCCGAAGCTTCGTCAGATAAGTCTCCTATATCATGGTTAGCATTTCCGCTGACGGAATCTGACTTACCGCCCCATAAAGATGACAAAGATTATTGTGTTGTGGTAGGTTCTAAAAGTTGTCACGAAATAAGCATTCAACCTGGGTGCTTATGTGCTACGTGCCTACGGCCGTACTCAAGGGCTTATTTGTCTCATCTACACGTAATCCGCGAAATGTTGGCTCAAACATTATTAATGATGTAAGTCGAACTAATAGCATAAATTTTATCAGTTGAAATACTCTGGGTGTTTTTTCAACTTTATAAACTTAAGACTTAGAGGAACGCACCTTGTCCGGAGTCCATTGTATGCATAATCATTTCCAAAGTCGGACCGTAACAGTACATTCCGAGACGTTTAACCGGCATCGTCAGTGAGTTTTACTATTTGTAGCGCCATATTACAACTCGTCAAAGAGACCAGTGAAGCCAATCCATTGACCAAACGTTTGCTCAACAGTTATAGTATCTCCCATTCTGCCCTGGCCTATTCACTTTTCCTATATCCTCCTATCACGCCTTCTCCGTCACACTTTTTTACTTGTTTAATTAAATGTGGTACGGTGTGCTCTTTTTAGCGGCTTTCATGAGAACCCTTCGCACTCCACACTGGCCTTTTGACTCCTCTTTATCCTTGTGCTGGGAATGTTGATCAGAGTCTGCCATATTGCCGCGTCTATCCTGTTTCTATCTCTAATACCAAG